AAGTATAGATTTTCAATAGCTACTTCAAAATGTAATAGAATGTTTATTACTATTAATGATGAATTCTCCTTTAGAAACCCTTAGGTAAATACGCTCATTACATAGGAATAAGATATGACAAGTTGTAAGAATTATGATTCTAGGCAATAGGTAAAAACAAAAGAGATGTATTTTTTTTATTTAATTCGAAATCTTATAATAGATAAATCAGTTGATTTTTGAACTCAATGCATTTCCTGTGTAATTATCTATCTAAATATTTATAATTGAATATGATTAGTAATTATTATTATTACAGTCGTCTGCAGTTTTGCATACAACTTCGAATGACCATTAGGTAGAGTAAATATTTAAATATTTTTAATAATAGGCACTGACTGCCTCTTTGGCCGAGTGGTCGTAAGTGCGACTGCCGGGCAAAGGGTCTCGGGTTCGATTCCCGGGTCGGGCAAAGTATTACTAAGTTATTAAATATTCTCAGTAGTAGCACGGAGTCTGGAATTGTGCCCGGTATATGGCAATAGGCTCACCCCCTATTACCTACATGGGACTCATAACATTAATAGTGAAAAGTGGGTGTTAAATTATACAGTGGTATAATGTCCACCTCTGCCTACCCCTTCGGAGATAGATGGCGTGATGTTATGTTATGTTAATAATAGGCACCTAATGATCTGTTTATACAGTTTACCTACGATATTAGTGGTGCCCGTAAACTAGGTTAGGGTAAACCTGTCATAGTTACTGTAATTATCTTCCTTCCATTTAAAATAATAGAGACTGCCTCTGAGACTGACTGTCGGGCAAAGTATTATTGGGTTTTTAAGAAAAAATTTGTAGTAGCTCGGAATGTGGAATATTGTGCCCGGTATATGGCAATGGACTCACACTTTATTACATGGGAGTCATAACATAAATAGTGTTACCTTGTACAGTGGCTTTAAGTGCCGGAATATGCACCTCTGCCTACCCTTTCGGGGATAAAAGTCGTGATGTTAATAATATTTGAATATTTTTATATACAAAGTTTTTGGTAACGATAACACGCCGCAACATAGTTTGTTGTAAAAATGATATTATTTAAATTACATTTACTTTTACGTAATCCGAAAATAGCATTTTTCATATTATCACCGAAAAATCATCAATAAACTATTTATAAGTACCTATGCACGTTATTGAACAAATTATAATAATATACATTAATTACAATTATTATTCATATCGATAATTTTGGTAAACAATGGCGTATGTAAATGTAGCGATTATAATTATGTGTATGTGTGTCATTTTGTTTTGATTCAGGGCTTAATTCTTAAGTAGGTCGTCAGATTTTTATCGCTACACATGTAGGGGAACTCAACACAGTATATAATAAGAATTAAGTACATAATACATATATTTGTTACGCTTTCTGGTTAAAACTTTCATAGTAAATCATGGTACCAAAACCTTCTGAAGGTTGGTCGCTTTTTTATGGCATAAGCCGCTAAACGAGCAGATGGATCACCTGATGGTAAGCAATCGGCGTCGCCCATGGACACCAGAAACACCAAGGCGTTACAAGTGCTTTACCGGCCTTTTGGGAATTGGGGATTTCGAGGATTCGGGTATTGGAGAGACTAGGGAGGGGGGGGGGGGGGGGTAATTGTGCCTCAGGTAACTTCACTCACACGACGAAGCACAACGCAGGCGTTGTTTCACGTCGGTTTTCTGTGAGGCCGTGGTATCACTCGGTCGAGTCGTCCCATTCGTGCTGAAGCATGGCTCTCTCACACATAAAACGAAGCTTACGAAGTTATGAATCACTGTGTCAAAGTCATACGTAAATAAAACGTTAAGGACAAAAGTAACACTAATAATGAGTATAAAATAAACAGTAGTATTTCGACCGCAAACTATTAGCTTTCTATCGTTTTGTGATCTGTATTTTTTGTGATATCACAAATGTAAAACATCTAGCCAGACACGAAGAGGTATTTAATACTGGCGTCTACATATTTTATGAACAAAATGCATTTCAGTGCAACATTCTCTTGCGTAAACCTTATCAGATATCCATGATTCACCTACCATAATACCGTTACTAATATGCATGGACAGAGTGCAACATACTTCCTCAATTTAATATGCATTATATTTCACGCCACTGGCACACTGCGCAAGTGATATGGTAATTCCTTGTCAATAAACATATGTTTATATAGCGGTCATTAACAACACGTAGTGAGCGTGGATGTGAACAATAAATTGTATATTTAACTCAGAAATTTATTATAAAGAATAATGAGTAATGGTCGCTTCTTAACTTGTAGGAAAACTTTTTTAAGCGTACGTACTTGGCGAGGGAAATTTTTCTATTTTTAGTTTTTTTTTTGTTTGTGGACTTATATAGTATTATCTATGGTCATATAGGAAATAGTTTTTATTCACCAAAGAAATTCCGAACACCTTGGATTAAATTTAAAATATACACTTAAAGGATGACTTTGATACGATAATGATTAAATCATTAGTTCTTTACGACATGAATAAGGACAAATTAGACCTATTTAATAATTTATTTATTTAACTAACCTATTTAATTGTCAAGGTAAGACTCAAATATCATCGTGATATGAGGGTTAAAGGGAAGGCCTATTTTCAGTAATCGAGGTTTTCCAGCTGATGGTAATGATGTTAATTTCACATTCGTTTAGTCTTAGGAATAGTTCTTAACCAATCCTACGCGGTTGGTTTTATTCTTGCAGTGTACATGATTATTATTATCTGATTTTTTTGTAAATTGTAATGAAAACTAGGCTAATGTGTGTTAATTGTTTAAGTAATCATATGTATTTCAAACTTTCATAATATTCTCAGTTGAGACGACCATATTCAGAGTCAGTCATTCGCTTCAAAGCAATTTTTATTGAAAAATGAGGATTGTACATGAGATCAATGTAAATACACTTGTACTACCGCATTGAATTAGTTGTAAAACATTAAGGTATTGTTTATTTATATTGGAAATAGCCTGCATGTGCAAGTTATTTATTCAAATTGATTATCATATAAGTATATGAGTATTATGAGTTCCCATAAAGCGCACCATTTTGTCCCACGCATGATTCCTAACTACGATATTGCTGTATGTTCAAGGAAAAATATTTCGAAGTATTACATAACATAACATAATATCACGCCTTTTATCCCCGAAGGTGTAGGCAGAGGTGTACATTACGGCACTTAATGCCACTGTACAATGTAACACCCACTTTTCACTATTTATGTTATGAGTCCCATATAATAGGGGATGAGCCTATTGCCATATTGCAGGCACAATTCCAGACTCCGTGCTACTACTGAGATTTTTTGAAAATGCCCAGTAAACTTTGCCCGACTCCGGAATCGAACCCGAGACCCCTTGCCCGGCAGTAGTAATTGCGACCATTCGGCCAACGAGGCAGTTATTCGAAGTATTAATTTATGTAAATAGGTTAGCCTTCATTTAATTTCTTCTCGTTTTATTTTTGCCTAAATATAACTTAATTAGCTAGTTTATAATTTAGAAACATTAAATACAATGATATTAAAATGTGCGTATTTTATTTTTATAGACCTTGTGTTTATTTTTACTTTTTGCATTTAGTTGTGATCTCATAACAGGACCTGGTTTGCTTTGATTTATTTAAGAACTAAATAATAAAAAATAATAAAGCTATAGTCGTTTGTATTTAAATTTCATTAAGATCTCTCATTTCTTCATCTCTTTCATGACGCTGACTCAATGGGATTATTTAAGATTCCATAGAGGGTCTGATCAAGGGCGTAATTAAATAATTCCGTACCCATTTAAATGCGGATTCATTTACCTTGAGACAACAGTCCAGAGCCTTTATGTCAACCACATTGTCCGTATTAAGAAACATTTATAGGCTGGTATACATATATGTATGAAATTTTCGTAAGTTTATGATTACGTACAAGATTAATCAGTTTCTTGTAATTTGCCGGTTTGTGGCGCAAGTCTCAATCGTACGATGCTCTCTGTTTTGGTAAAGTTGCTACATTGGTTCACAATTTTATATTCATCTGTTTTGTAACTTTTAAATAGGTGCAACGGAGAAACGAATTGTAGTTCATGAACACGTATACCTTTTGTTGAATATAAATTCTACATTGTTTTAGTGCTAACAAGGTTAAAGAATAGATTGAGCGTTAGGTAATTTTTGTTTAGTTTAAGTCCTACTGATTCAATAACCTAATTGCATTTTTATCGAATTTTATTACGTACCTGTAGATAGCAGTACAGTTAAGTATCATACATGTGACATAAACGGAATTCTATGTCACACTAATATTATAATAAATATGTATTCCCTAAATAAATAGGAGACAAATTCGCTATTCAATACAATTCTCACATCACTTAAGATTCATATTCCAACAGATAAACGATGTTATAATATTTATATCTACTTCCTAAAACCAAATCGAGATATAATCGTTTCCGATGCCTTCCTCAATAATAATGCAAGTGACTAACAATGAATTGAATTGAACGGCGTGATTCACTCGCGACTATAAAGTCACTGCCACTGGCCCCTATAATTATGTTTGTGTAACTTAATCGATTACGATCAGCTGGCACTGTTTACGTTTAGACGAAAACTGACTGCACGTGACCGTTACTTGTCAACTGTTCATAATAGCTTCGTGTTTATGATGCTGGTTGGTAATCAAGAAAACATGTACTTTTTTATTCATTGAAGAAGTTGGTAAGAATGCATATTTTTGTAAAATATGAAAATGAATATTTTCTAAAAGAAAACACAACAAAAAGGAAATATGTATTCGAAGTTCATTTCTCGCGGTCACAAGTTTGACCCAGTTTATTTCATTTGATATCATTTGTCATTGTTTCAATGGATTGCATTGTTGTTACTCTGAATTGTTCTTAAATATTATAGGTGACAGGACACAAAATTAATTAGCGGAACAAAGGTCAAAGTACTTACTCTCTGGTGTAACATCTCGAAGTACGATCCTGGCTTCTGTTTCAGCCGGCATGGTTACCACAACTTGAAAGCTTAGCGATCGATTTGTACGTTGACCCTTGAGTTACACACGGGGGTCCTTGACACGATTGTTGTGGCAGTTATATTGCGTGACTAGAACTTTGTTCCGAAGGGTTTTATGTCATGTTTTTATTTAGGAGCGTCTGTGTACGGTGGCGGATGCGAGCGTCGTCGCACAAAGCTCGGCGAGGACTGACCGTAGATTGCGGCGCGCGCCTATTTTCTCCGCGGTCCTATATCATCGCGGGTACTACATGCTCTCGTTGACCTTGTGTTGTTGTTGTGTTAAGTCATACTCAGTGGCCGATGCATTAAGATCAGCCGGCCTATTGAGATTTGCGACACGAAGGGAAGTGTTTTCCATACACTATTTGAAGTAATTCTCGTCAATTTCAAACGATAGTCGTTATCTGTTTTGTCACATGTTGCACCAATGTCCAGTAGTTTCATGATGATGTTCGTAAGAATGGATTTAGAAAAGTAGATAGAAGAATAAAGTTAATAGTAGTTTTTACAGTTTTACAGTTCAGTAACTTATTAAACTATTAAAGTTTAAATTGGGTATTGGGGATTACAGTAGAACATAAAATATTATTTCTTAAGTAGATATGTTGACAAAAAGCTGGGTTAAGTACTTTTTCTAGGGAATTTGTTATGGCTGGTTTTGTCTGGTGGGATCTTGAATACAATGCTTAGGCTAAGTTCCCAGAAAAATAATGATAATACTTATTAGCCAAATTATTCTACATGGGTACTATTAAGCATATTTATTATTTATTTATTTATCATTTCATGTACCCACACCATACAGACAATATTACACGACACAACACATTATAGGTAAGCATACTTATAAATGAAATTGTTAGGTATTTGTTGAAAAACATTTCAATTTTCATCTTGCCATCCGGTTTACAGGTTGATTTAGATAATAAAATAAATATTGTAAAACTAAATAAAATAAATAAAATAAATAAAATAAATAAAATAAATAAAATAAATAAAATAAATAAAGTAAATAAAATAAATAAAATAAATAAAATAAATAAAATAAATAAATAAATGCGAGAATTCAGCCTTGTTTACATTTTTAATTATTAATGATGGTTCTTATACAGATGTACATGCATAAACTCACGCCTATCTCCCATGGGGTAAACTAAGACTATGGAATTTGCTACGATTCTTACATACCTATTTCTTTAGCTTCATCAACAGTCATCAGTCCTTTAATGCGTGCTCGTTGGTTAAGGGTACTTATAATTTGGCTCTTCTTTAATATGTATATCGCCAATCTGGTCGATACAATATGTCCATACGTCTGTTGGTAATACTTCCCTACTTGATTCAATATTTTCTTTTTTTTAAGAATTAATTTTGGTTTTTTTAAATTAGGTTTGAATTTATTCATATACTATATTTATTAACTTAAAATAAACGTCGATGCGGACGAATTTTTCGATGCTTTATGTAAATAGTTGTTTTTCTTATATTTAATTTAAAATCTTAAGTTGTATATATTTAATTCAGTAATATTTAGTTTTAATTTTATTTAAGTAATAGTTAGTTTTAATTTAAGTTTTTATTTGAATAAATGCTTACTAATACTTAAAATAGAAATAACTAAAAATTAAATTGTTTACACAATACACAACACCTTAAAAATATAGTAAAAAAAAATTCGTTTGTTTTGTCGGTTGAATAAGTAAGGTTGTGGTCAACCCGGCATGAGTAGTTAGTTTCGTCAGGAGATAAAGACAGAAAAAACGTTTAATGATGATGATACAATAGGGTAGTGGCCAGGGTAAGAATTTTAAAAATCTAATTAATCCGTCAGTTAGATAATGAAAAAATATTAGACACGTATTTTTTATTTTCTCCTTTAAAGTTACAATACTTAAATTAAATGGAGTTTAGTTTAGGAGTGGGAGGTAGTTACGTCACAATGTGCTACATTTTGAAGCACGCTGTGACGTCATATAACATTTCAAATCAATATATCGTCCAAAGAATTTAATTTTGTAAGAAAAGAAAAAATACGTGTCTAATGTTTTAAAACAATCTACCTGACGGATATTAAAATAAAATTTAGGAAACTACCCTATTGGATACCTTTCTAAATCAAAAGTAAATTATTTCGACTGTTCAGTACAATAAAATATTAAAAAATAATCACACATTCATTAATTGATTTTATGACCAATTTAATTGTAGTATTTATACAGCATTTTTTTAAGAAATAAGTATGGTGTTTGACGCTGAAAACCCGTGACGTCACAATACACAATCGGGTACAAAAATCATAGAAAACTGTCGTTTTTGACAGTAAGAAAAAAGTATTGAATTTGACTTGTTGTCAAGTACTCAATTCTTGAAATTCTTATATCTATACTTAATAGTTATTGAAATACTGGCCACAAATTGTAGAGTCAACCAAAAGTTCCCGAAAAATTCCACAATCGTAACGAGTACGCGTTCGGCGCTCTGATTGGTTGCTTCATTGGCGCCGGCCAATCAGTGCGCCGAACGCGTTCTCGTTTCGAATACTTTAAACGTAAAACAAACTCGTACTAAGGCCTCTGACCATTGTTCATTTAAAATACCGAAGAAAGAAATTACTTTGACATTTCCTTTATGAAACTTTCTTTTAGCAATGTTTTTAGTTAAAGTGTGAAACATAATTAGTATTGCAATGCCAGGTAAAGTTGAAGGTGTCAATTATTGTGCAGTTCGTGTAAGGCTAACATTGTTACTAATTAAGTAATTAAACCATTTCCGGCATCTTGTTAATTAGTATAGACAAGATGACGCCTTATATTGACGTGTATAATTAAATGGAGGCAATGAAATTACTCTGCTTCTTTAGTAATCTAGCAATTATATAATTTTCTATTGCCTATTCTAATGAGAATCCAGCGAGGCTATAAAAAAGTTTAAATTAAAATAACACTGCACTGTACAGCAAATATTATAAATCCTTAGCTAAAATATAGTATAAAATCATGCGTCTATAAAAAATGCAACTTGCTTCAAGGTGTTTATTGTATAATTCATTGTACTAAGTAATTAATTATTATTCATTAATGTCAACAAAGATTTTATATCCTGAAATGAAGAAAAATAGGATTTTATGACAAAAAACTGAAGATGATTTGTGAGTGTTTGTACCTCTATGTACACACGGCTACACATCGAGCTTTACATAACCAGTATAAATTGAACGTTAAATGTGCGGAAAGATGATGCGACGCGACACCAGGATAAACTGGTTTTATATAGATTGATGTGTGGCCGACCAACCAATGTTTGTTGCTCAATGTTATCAAGTCAAATACTCAAAAGCGTCAAAAGGGCTGAAAGGATCGGGATGAAATTTGGAACAGGGATAAATATAACACATAAGGTACTTTTTATCCCTGTGGAACGCAGGTGAATATCATAAAATACTTATGCATATTTCATTTACTTTGCAAGTCTAAGGAATATCAGCCATCAGATGACCACAGATGGGGCCTAACAGGGCTGATGCGGCATACGGAGCCGCGGAAGACTTAACGGGTTGCCGGGGCTCCGGCTCGAAGTGCAGGAGTAGGAACGGGGGGATTTTTAGTCAGTAAGTGTCTGACACTCCCTCTCGCCTCATCATGGGATGATTATCCCCCTCAAAAATAAAAGTTACTCACTTTTAAGTCGCGCTTAAGCATAGTTCTGTCTCTACAAATTCTTTGTAAAATGACAGAGACAGCATGATAATTAAGCACGTCCTAAAATTGAGTAACGTTTCAGTATTCCAGCAAAAGGAATTTTGAAATCGGTTGTTACTAGGCAATATGCGTCAGTTTAACTTACATAGATAGTTTTATATCAAACAACATGAATGACCGAAGTAAGCAAAGACGTAATGGTTATGTAAGTACTGTGTACTAGATATGCAATATATATTTATTTTGAAGCTGCCTGAACTTGACCTCGGCCTTGATGTGAAATGTGTAGTCAAGTGCGAATTGTGTTTGTTTTACTTCTGTGTAGAGATGTATTTGTTGCAGAATTGCTTCTTTTGTTTAATATGTTTTGGCTAGTTAATTTACGGTTTTTGTTCAAGTGGTGTGCGGCGCGCGGTCGCATTATTGATTACAAATTTAAGAGTTACATATTTATTAGTATAGATAATGTATATTTTTATAATAACTATCGTGGAACATATTGAATTAACTAAAAATGAACATGAGAACAACTCCCTCTGTAACTCGAAACTAATAGAGCTTTTTTTAGTATAATCACGTGAGTAACCAGCCATTTTTAATTAACTATATATAGTTACTAAACTAAATTTAATCATAAACAATATTATTTAAATTGTAGGTAATTGTTTCTAGCGACCCGCACTGGCTTTGTTCGGTTATTAGTATTTGTCTATTATATTATGCACACAAACTTGCCACTTGAATACTAAACTTGATACACTATCTATTTAAAAAAAACCGCTTTAAAATCTGTTGCGTAGTTTTAAAGATCTAAGCATACCTACATAGGGTCAGATAGAAAATGCCGAATGTGACTTCGTTTTATTTTATGTAAATAAAATAAAAATAAAAAAGTCTATATTTCTCTTAAGACAATATACAAAATTTGTTTCTTAGTATTTACTTATTTACTAATTTGCTTGTTTCTTATTGTGTTAGGTAAATTGTTGTATTTCGTCAGCGAGAACCCTTTTGCAGGTAAAGACCTCCTCCAAGTTTTGCCAATCGTCTCTTGACTTCGCAGTTTGTATCCAGTTTGATCCAGCTATTTGTTTAATTTCGTACTCCCATCTTTTGCGAGGTCTACCTCTTTTTCTTTCTTCCACGTTGTGATGCTTTTAGTCCATCTTTGATCTTGGAGATCTTTATTTTATATACTGTTTACTAAACATCAACTCCGTAGGTAGTTGAGTAGACACAGTTAATACAATGAATAATTAAAGCAATTACTTTCATATTATCTGTTCATTCGAAGACCTTTCTCTGACTTCCCACACGATGACATTTCCTTAATATTCTCAGAAATCAGTTGTTTTATTATGTTCCTTTTACCTCGTAATATTAGCCCTTGAAATGTTTATTCGACGGTTGTTTTCTTTGTTATTGTTATAAGTATACCGCCTACTACCTTTTTCAGACCTGCCTGTACTGAATAGGTAATTGGTATCAAGTACCAAATGCTCGATTTTATTCTTAACCTCCGCTTCGTTACCGTTTTGCTAGGTGTATAAT